GTGTGAAACATTGTAACTATTTATTACTTATTATGTGATAGCTAATAACGTTATACTTCTCAAGTAACAAATAATATTATAGTCATATAAAATTTCTCATAATAATATAATTGTTTAATATGAATATACTCCGGGTCTTTTGCACATATTTAAAAAAAATTGTTATCAAAAAATTTATTGAAATTTCATAAAACTTTAATATATTATCAAACATATATCGAAGCAAATGAAATTTTTTTTTATTTATGAAGACAAAATGTGGAGTGAAAATAAAAATCTGGTTTACAAGATGTCTCGAGTTAGAATCCTTGGAATCTAAATTTTTAAATGGAATATTAAAATATAAATAAATAGCTATAACTGGTTTTCAAATATTGTTCCATTATAAAAAAATCACCTTTTTTTCTTCATTACTAACATAAACATTATTATTAACAAATAGTTCTATTTCATTTCTGCGACACATAAAATATCACTATCTTTCACAGTACAGGATACTTCGAGATATCTCTAAACAATATTTCGGATATGCAGATCGATACTAAGTTTTACAAGATCGAGACCTATTAATATCGGTTTTTTTGAAATCGTGTACCCCCCACAGCGGCCACACGAATTTATCTGGAGGGCTGAAATTTGGTACACATATATTTTTGCGTGTAGATTACAGGTAAAATATAGCGAACCTGATTGAAATTGATTATCATAGCATTGTTAAGGAAAAACCATGCATTTTTACGAGAATGGTTTTATCTTCCTAGCGCACACAATATTCAACTCAGAGTGTTAATATTTGCTGTATAAATGTATTTTTGCGTGAAAATTACAGGAAAAATGTAAGCACGATTGGAGTTGATGGTCAATTTTTATCAAATTTTTCAAGAAAAATGATAAATTAAGAAAAAAAATGTATTTTTCCACCGAAAACGAAAAAATTTTATCTACAGTGATTTAAATTTATACATTTTGACGAATTTTTACGTGTAGATTACAAAAAATATATAGCGAGGACGATTGGAGTTGGTTTTTTTTATTGAAAATAAAATCGAACAAGTTCGAAGGTTCCGTACACGAAGCGAACTTATTAGATATAAAAACAAATGTTTAAAAAATATAAGTTTTCCCAGGTGCAAATGATTCGTAAGGAATTCGTGTGGAATTCGTTCGGAATTCGTCCAGATTTCCGAAAGAATTCGTTTAGATTTCGTCCAGATTTCCTGTCGAATTCTGGAAAACGCCGTGTGGCGATTTGAAACAGAATTCGTCCATAATTTAATAGGAATTCGTGAGACTTCTTTCAGAAAAATGAATACAAAAAAAACTTTTGACCAAATTTTCGACCGAAATTCGTATGGTATTCGTGCGAATTACTAAAGAATATTTTAAAAACAGTTCGTGTGGATTCCAATAAGAATTTGATAGGAATTCCGAACGGAATTTTGGCTGATAAATATTTTGAAAAATATATTCGCCCACTTTTCCAAACGAATAGTGCGCGGTATTCGTGCGAATTACTAAGGAATTCTTTAAATAAACTTCGTGTGGATTCCTATAAGAAATTGATGGGAATTCCGAACGGAATTTTGGCTGATAAATATTTTGAAAAATATATTCGCCCACTTTTCCAAACGAATAGTGCGCGGTATTCGTGCGAATTACTAAGGAATTCTTTAAATAAACTTCGTGTGGATTCCTATAAGAAATTGATGGGAATTCCGAACGGAATTTTGGATGAAAAATTTTTTTAAAAATATAGTCGCCTACTTTTCCGACCGAATATTGCACGGTATTCGTGCGAATTACTAAGGAATTCTTTAAATAAACTTCGTGTGGATTCCTATAAGAAATTGATGGGAATTCCGAACGGAATTTTGGATGAAAAATTTTTTTAAAAATATAGTCGCCTACTTTTCCGACCGAATATTGCACGGTATTCGTGCGAATTACTAAGGAATTCTTTAAATAAACTTCGTGTGGATTGCTATAAGAAATTGATAGGAATTCCAAACGGAATTTTGTCTGAAAAATATATTTAAAAAAATATTCGCCTACCGTTCCGAACGAATAGTGCGCGGTAGTCGTGCGAATTACTGAGGAATTCTTTAAATAAACTTCGTGTGGATTGCTATAAGAAATTGATAGGAATTCCGAACGGAATTTAGGCTGAAAAATATTTTTTAAAAAATATTCGCCCACTTTTCCGAACGAATAGTGCGTGGTAGTCGTGCGAATTACTAAGGAATTCTTTAAATAAACTTCGTGTGGATTCCTATAAGAAATTGATGGGAATTCCGAACGGAATTTTGGATGAAAAATTTTTTTAAAAATATAGTCGCCTACTTTTCCGACCGAATATTGCACGGTATTCGTGCGAATTACTAAGGAATTCTTTAAATAAACTTCGTGTGGATTGCTATAAGAAATTGATAGGAATTCCAAACGGAATTTTGTCTGAAAAATATGTTTAAAAAAATATTCGCCTACCGTTCCGAACGAATAGTGCGCGGTAGTCGTGCGAATTACTGAGGAATTCTTTAAATAAACTTCGTGTGGATTGCTATAAGAAATTGATAGGAATTCCGAACGGAATTTAGGCTGAAAAATATTTTTTAAAAAATATTCGCCCACTTTTCCGAACGAATAGTGCGTGGTAGTCGTGCGAATTACTAAGGAATTCTTTAAATAAACTTCGTGTGGATTGCTATAAGAAATTGATAGGAATTCCGAACGGAATTTTGAATGAAAAATATTTTCAAAAAAATATTCGCCCACTTTTCCGAACGAATAGTGAGCGGTAGTCGTGCGAATTACTGAGGAATTCTTTAAATAAACTTCGTGTGGATTCCTATAAGAAATTGATGGGAATTCCGAACGGAATTTTGGATGAAAAATTTTTTTAAAAATATAGTCGCCTACTTTTCCGACCGAATATTGCACGGTATTCGTGCGAATTACTAAGGAATTCTTTAAATAAACTTCGTGTGGATTGCTATAAGAAATTGATAGGAATTCCGAACGGAATTTTGGATGAAAAATATTTTTAAAAAAATATTCGCCCATTTTTCCGAACGAATAGTGCGCGGTAGTCGTGCGAATTACTAAGGAATTCTTTATATAAACTTCGTGTGGATTCCTATAAGAAATTGATAGGAATTCCAAACGGAATTTTGTCTGAAAAATATGTTTAAAAAAATATTCGCCTACCGTTCCGAACGAATAGTGCGCGGTAGTCGTCCGAATTACTGAGGAATTCTTTAAATAAACTTCGTGTGGATTGCTATAAGAAATTGATAGGAATTTTGAACGGAATTTAGGCTGAAAAATATTTTTTAAAAAATATTCGCCCACTTTTCCGAACGAATAGTGCGTGGTAGTCGTGCGAATTACTAAGGAATTCTTTAAATAAACTTCGTGTGGATTGCTATAAGAAATTGATAGGAATTCCGAACGGAATTTTGAATGAAAAATATTTTCAAAAAAATATTCGCCCACTTTTCCGAACGAATAGTGCGCGGTAGTCGTGCGAATTACTGAGGAATTCTTTAAATAAACTTCGTGTGGATTCCTATAAGAAATTGATAGGAATTCCGAACGGAGTTTAGGCTGAAAAATATTTTTTAAAAAATATTCGCCCACTTTTCCGAACGAATAGTGCGTGGTAGTCGTGCGAATTACTAAGGAATTCTTTAAATAAACTTCGTGTGGATTGCTATAAGAAATTGATAGGAATTCCGAACGGAATTTTGAATGAAAAATATTTTCAAAAAAATATTCGCCCACTTTTCCGAACGAATAGTGCGCGGTAGTCGTGCGAATTACTGAGGAATTCTTTAAATAAACTTCGTGTGGATTCCTATAAGAAATTGATGGGAATTCCGAACGGAATTTTGGCAGAAAAATATTTTTAAAAATATATTCGCCCACTGTTCCGACCGAATAGTGCGCGGTATTCGTGTGAAATATTAACAAATTTTTTTAATGAATGCCGTGAGAATTCCCATTAGAAATTAATTGATATTAATTCCACATGGAATTCCGTCAAATGAATTTTTTTAAAAAAATTTTCGCCCACTTTTCAGACTGAATTTTGTACGGAATTCGTCCGAATTTCTAACGAATTTGCAAAATAAATGCCATGCGAATTCCCATAAAAAATTTTGATAGCACACTTTTCTTGAAAGTATCAAATTGATACCTAAGTGGATCGAATTGACACCAAAAGTTTGGATCAATTTTTGATTTAATCCACATTTTTGGTATCAATTTGTTGCAATTTGATACTTTTAAGTTAACAGTGAGTAAATCCGCCTGGAATTTTGTCTGAAAAATTTTGTTTAAAAATTTTCGGTCGTCACTTTTACGATCGAATTTTTTTACAGAATTCGAGCGAATTACTAACCAAATATTAAATAAATTTAATAGAAATGCCCAAACATTTTTTTTTTAAATTTATTAATAAATTCTGCACGCAATGTTGGCTGGAATATTAATAAAAAAATTGTGGATGAATTTCGTGAATGAATATCATATTGATGATATTCGAGTGAATTACTCATCAACTGCGAATTCCAATTTTGATAAATTCTCAACAGAAATTTGTGTTAAATTTAGTAGGTAATATTTAATATTTTTTATTGAGTAGGTAAATTTTTATTGTGTTATGAAATATTTGCTCCCTCTAAAGTCGTTCTATATTTATGGAAATAACACATAAGCTTTGCTTGAAAAATTTTAAAAAATTTTATTCCTAATAATTTTCTGTATTTTTTATCTGTCATTTTGTATTATTACCGATTTATTTCTTTTATATTGTTAACTATTCTATAACACGAGAATAATTTTTGGTAAATTTGAAGAATGTAATAAAAGTGCGTATATTTTATTTTTAAAAAAGTAATGAAATAAATTTTATGAAAGTATATGTAATATTATAATAATAAGTTATATTGTTGCTGAAAATTTAAAAAAAATTATGGGCAGGATAATAACCACAATATTAATGAATTTTTAAATAAAATATATTTGTTTTTAGCTTATAATGTTCGCTTTATCTTTCGTCGTCGCATTCTTCTGGGCCTGAAAAAGAAAAAAAATTTAATATACTTTTTGGTAAGTAATGAAATCTAATTTATTCTATACATTATATTATTATTGATGGATTGAATGATAACCATTGGAATGACTACAAATTTATAGTTGATATGTAACAATAATTTAATTATTTGTTCATTATTTAATAAGAATTTCGTTTTCTCTTCTAATATTAAAATGAATACACTGTAAAAAGAAAGGTATACTAATTTCATACCAATTTTGGTACTAAATCGTAATTTGATTCTATTTTAATATACCGAAATCAGCTCTAATTTAGAACTTTTTTTTACAGTGTAGATGAAAATTAATAGATGAAAATGCTAAAAGGAGTACTTAAATATTTAAGGATTAAAGTTAAGCATTACTTCAGATAAATGTATATTTGCTTATTATTATATTAATGTTCAAAGTGAGTCTTATTTGTTGACTCTTGTTTTCAGTGCCATGTGTGTGTGTCTCAAAAAGCACTACAAACTTAAAGAAAAATAAAAACATTAAATTTGAATTTTTTACTACAAAATTGAAAAGTAACTTTTTCAAAATTTTTGTTTTTTAAAATATTAATAACTTTGGCTACTATTAATAAAATGTGTTCAAGAAGGGTCAAAAAGTGCGTTATAAAACCCAATACAAAACTGAGTGATAGCTCTTGGAACATTTTTTCAAAAATGCCGCCAATGAGTTTTAAATCCAAATGTTTATTACATGAAAATTTTGCTTCCTATTTACGATCATCAACAAAATTTGCTTCCTTGTGGAGGAAGTATTAACATTGAAAGAACTATTTATTTATTCTTGATGCAAAAAATAAGATTTTATTATACAGTAACATAATTTTTAATAAATGAAAAAATTTTAGTAAAAGGAGTGAATTTTCCTGCTTTAGTTATGATTAATTCTATTAATTTTCCAAAAACAGACATGTTACAGTGGGCAAAAAACCATGTTCGTTCTAAAAACGTTTTTAAAACGTTTCATGTCCGCTAAATAATGTTCTAGAACATTTTAGGAACATGGATGTTCAAATAATGTTCTGGAACATTTTTTGGCTGTCATGAAACGTTTTAAGGACGTTTTTGGAACGAACATGGTTTTTTGCCCACTGGGGTATTGCATTCGATTATCAAATTTTGCAACATTTACTAAAAAAATCGATTATTTAAATAAGTATTTCTTATTATTTAAAGAAAAACAAGCTCCTACTTGTTTTTCAGCATGCCAACAACTGAAACAGTGACAATGACTGAAGTACCCAAGTAGCACGTAATATTACAGTAATATTACTGTAATATTAAAATGTCCGCCCGATGGTAATATTACCGACCAATGATATCGGTAAAAAAAGAATAATTAGCACTTAGCATTTCACGGATTTGGTCGCGGCAGCTGTAATCTGAAATTCACGATTTGACGGATTACGACGTTTCTCCAAATTCGTGAACAATATTATTGTAAGTCGTAAGATGTTTAACTGGACATATTTAGAGAAATTCACTAGGACGGGCAGTATAAATTGTTTAAATGTTAAAGTGCATTGTATTTGAGTATAAAAATACCATTTGTAAAGTGCAATTAATTATTTTCAATGAAATATTGAATGTTACATACTAAATACGGTCGTAATACGTGATGAGAGTAGTCCAAATTCGTGATATGTCAAGTTTCGCTTGGTTATAAAGATCTCCTTTACCGACAATGGATAAATGCTTTATAGCTATGTCATTAAGGAAGTAGATTTCTATTAAACTTAATTAAAACATTTTAATTTTTAACAATTTTTTATTATTTTAAAATGTGAATAAATCTTTAAATAATAATAAACTTTATATTACATTATTTAAATAAAATATTTTATCTGTAAGTAGTAAACAATACAAAATAAATTTCTAAAATTTAGTATTAATTCAATTTCTATTCTTTTTAAATCTATTTGTTATTAATATTATTTTTAATTTATTATCATAACTTTATTTATATCGAAATTAGATGTATTTTGTTTTTTTATATTTATTTTTAGACAGAATATATATTCACATTTACAAATAAATAAATATAATTATGCATGAAGATTTTTAAATAAATATGATTTATTTATTAAATAAGAAGATATAATAAAAAGGAACAACTTGTTATGTAATATGTTTTATTTAATCACCATCAAAATTACAGCAAAATTATTTATTTTTATATTTTACTAGTTAATAAATAAATCATTTTTTATAATTTTCCTACACAATTGTCTATTTATTTATAAATATATACATATTTTTTAAGATAAAAATAAAACAACAAAATAAATGAAATTAAAATAATAAAGAATAAACACATTTTAAAAGAAGAAAAAAGACTAAAAGTTAAGAAGATTTCTTAATTAAATTTAAGGGGGGTGGTAAGGTTTCCATTTTCGAAAAATCGATTTTTTCTTTTTTTACTATTCTTGTAGTTTATTTATTTATTGAAACTCCACCGCCCGCAGTCCTAGAAGGACCATAAATGGGCAACTACAAGAAAGTATAAATCATTCTACAATATCTAAATATTTGTTTAAACATTTAATAAAATCGCCGACCGAAGAGCTAAACAAATCAAGTTTTGGTTGAATAGTAACAAAAAAATCGTTCAAATGGTAACACGCAAAGTAAATTGGAGAAATTTTACCAAATTCTCTACGTAAACAGGGCAAAGTAAATGGTATTTCATTACGAGAGTTGATTTTAGGCACTCTTAAGGGTAAACTATATAATATATCTGGAGCGTAGATTTGGGAAGACAAAATTTTAAAAATAAACAAACAAGCATAGAAAATCCTACGTTGCGCTATTGTGACGAAGCCAAATCGTACACACAATTCATTATAATCCTGGCCACGAGGCAGACATTTTTTATCAACCTTAAAGACCAGATATTTGAGAAACCTCTTTTGAATATATTCTAAGTAATTATTATACTTTTCAAATTGAGGAATAGCAATAAAAGAAGCAAAATCAAATCTAGATCGAATTAATGAGAAAAAAAGTAACTTTAAAGTCTTAATGTTATAAAAATGTTTAGTTGATCTTAAGAGGTAACCCAAAGATCTGGAAGTAGCCGTTACTAATTTTGATATATGGTCATTAAAATTCAATCGGCAGTCAAATGTAACACCGAGATCACATAATGAAAAAACTCTCTCCAAGGTTATATTGTTTAGAACATAGTTATTAAAAAAAGGTACCTTTGACCTAGTGAATGTTAAAATATGACATTTAAGAGATATTGAGAGGTAATAAGTTATTTTGTGACCACGTAAAAATATAATCCAAATCATTTTGGAGAGCATTTATATCTGAAATAGATTTAATTATTCGAAAAACCTTAACATCATCGGCAAATAGTAAGATAAAAGAATCAATGCCTTTGTCAATGTCATTAATATAAAGAGTAAAAAGTGGAGAACCCAGTGAAGATCCCTGTGGAACTCCTTTATCAGGTATAAAAGAATCAGACGAAAATTGACCTATAGTAACTCTATGACTCCTTTGATATAAATAATTTAGTAAAACTATTTGAAGATTAAACGGCAAATCAATTCAATGTAGTTGAACATCTCAAGAATATATTCCCAAAATTTGAAGTCAATTGGAGCGAAACTCACAAAGTTATTAACAAATTAGTTCCTTCGCTTTTAAAACTGTATTTCCGTCAGTTAGTTGTACGTTGGAACGAGTGTTTGTTCTCAGTGATGTAATATAAGGCAAATACTTGAAAACAGAGGCTTATGGTCATGTTATTCAGTGGTCACGTGTCCCATATATTTTACTATGAAAATACGTCACACTGAATAACATGACCTTAAGACATTAAAACTACTGCCGAGAGTCTACTCTATGGAGCTAGAATCGATGATTCCAAATAAGCTGAAAAAATAATTTTTTTCCTTCTGTTTTAGCCTTTAAAACTTTAAATGCGTTTTTCTCATAATCATTTTTTAAAAATCCGTGTTCACTGATATTTGAAAACTACTTTACCGATTTATTCCAAACTTGGTATACATTTTCTACACATAAAATACCTATCCCCAACGAAGAGTTTTTCAATTTTTTTTACATTAAAGGGGTTTTTCATTTACAAAATAGTGGAATTTTTCGTCAAAAATATCAATTTCCACTTCAAATGAACACAAAAAATTTAAAAATGAAAAAAATTAAAATCGGAGATATCATAGGGGCGGGTTTCTTTTAAAAAATTTGCAGAATATTGTTCAAATGATACTTAATAATGTACAAACGGTTTGGATAAATTTGCTTTATTCATATTTCTAAAATAAATTCACAAAAAAAAATGTTTTTTTCATTGCTGGAACCCTTACCCCCCCTAATAGAAATCTACTTCTTCAATCTACTAACCTATAAAGGATCTATTCATTTTCGGTAAAAAAGATCGTTACAACCAATCGAAACTTATCATCCCACGGATTTGGACTACTCTCATCACGTATTACGACCGTATTTAGTATTTAACATTCAATATTTAATTAAGAATTAATAATTGTATTTTACAAATGGTATTTTTATTCTCAAATACGATGCACTTTCATTTTTAAACAATTTATACTGCCCGTCCTAGTGAATTTCTCTAAATATGTCCAGTTAAAAATTTTACGAATTACAACATTACTGTTCACAGATTTGGAAAAATGTAATCCGTCAAATCACGAATTTCGGATTACAGCGGTTGCGGCCAAATCCGTGAAACGCTAAGTGTTAATTTTATTTTTATAGGACATATTACGATAACATTGGTCGGTAATATCACCATCTGTCGGACATTTTAATATCACTGTTATAGTACGTGCTACTAGGGTATTTACCCCCTATATATATGGGGGATTTCACGTGAAGTGATCCAGGACAGAATTTCAAACTCATGGACAAGGTAATATTTGACACATTGTAACTGTTTTAATTTTAAAAATTAAAATAATGTCAAATATGTTTCGCATAGGTTTTTTTCTGCCCTTTTCAATGGTGTAATCAATTTTTCAAAAAACTTTATTTTTGACCTTGAAAAATGCAATTTAAGGGGAGGTTCTCATTGCGGCGACGAAGAAAAGCCCAACATTTAACATTTTTTTGCAAGGAACTAATATAACATATCGATCTATTTTTTTTATAAATAAAGATACATCCTTAAGCTTTTAAAAAATATTTTTTATTTTCAAAAAATTTTAAAATGGCGGCCAATATGGCGATTTGAAAAACCAATGCTTTTTTAATAAGTGAAACGGTGGGCACTCTGCACTCATCAATTTTGAACGTAGAACAAAAAACCAAAATTTGTTATGAAGCTGACATTCTAAAGAATAGGTTATACCTGTAAAATTGTCAAAAAGTTGTATGAATGACAAAATGGCTGACACTTTTTTAAAAACGTGCGATTTTTGCTCTATTTTTTCATGTTTAACCCCTTGTAAAAAATGTTTATTGTTAACAATTAGGCCATATTATAGGTATAACCCCAGCAGAATTTAGTTATCTTTCATTTGCCGGAAACCGGAAGTTAATTGGTTGAATAGTTTAGACGCTACGATCCCAAACAGTTTGAAAAATCTTGTTTCGAGAAAAACGCGTTTAAAGGTTTGGAAACATTTTCATATGAAATATTTATATTTTTGGTTAGATTTGCGTAAATCATGGATAATAGGTTATAGGTATAGGTTTTTGAGGTCGCTGATCACGAGTCGTGGTAAGTCATCTGTTAATAAAAATGTCGATAGCAATTTTAACATATGTATAAAAGCGATTAGGCATAAAAGTGCAATGATCATGCTACCTCAGCGTTATTCAGCGCTCAGGGGTGCTATTCTGTAACTTCACTTCACTTTCACTTCACCTTCACTTCACTTTCACTTCACTTTCACTTCACTTCACTTTCACTTCACGTTCACTTCACTTTCACTTTCACTTCACTTTCACTTAACTCTCACTTCACTTTCACTTAACTCTCACTTCACTTTCACTTCACTTTCACTTTCACTTCACTCTCACTTCACTTTCACTTAACTCTCACTTCACTCACTTCATCATTGCACTTTTATGCCTAATCGCTTTTATACATATGTTAAAATTGCTATCGACATTTTTATTAACAGATGACTTACCACGAATCGTGATCAGCGACCTCAAAAACCTATAGATATCCATGATTTACGCAAATCTAACCAAAAATATAAATATTTCATATGAAAATGTTTCCAAACCTTTAAACGCGTTTTTCTCGAAACAAGATTTTTCAAACTGTTTGGGATCGTAGCGTCTAAACTATTCAACCAATTAACTTCCGGTTTCCGGCAAATGAGAGATAACTAAATTCTGCTGGGGTTATACCTATAATATGGCCTAATTGTTAACAATAAACATTTTTTACAAGGGGTTAAACATGAAAAACCTCCCCGTTATGATGTCACGGGGAGGTAAAGTAACATTACCTCCCTGTCGCCGGGAAAGACTTACTTTCCACCCGATATACAGGTAGGAAATGATGTACTTTCGGTGCGTGTGTTAGAAAAATGTTTTTTAATGTTCTTGAGCTTATTTAAAAGTTAGTTTTCTATAGAAAAAGAATTACTTGTCATCATTAAAGTATAATTTTTTTCGTAAAAAAAATGCAAGTCTTCAAAGTTGAACCAAAAAATTCAAAAAAATTTCACTTTTTTTAACAGAAAAATAATTTTTAAAATTCAAATAAAATTATTTTATACAATTTCCTTGAAAAATCTATACAATTTCATGTCTTATATACCCAGTGGGCACAGGGACATGGGATGTCTTTAGGACATCCCTAGGATGTCCATGTCCGTTCGAAAGACGTCATTTGGACATAAGATGTCGTCAGGACGTCTTTTGAACGGACATGGACATCCTAGGGATGTCCTAAAGACATCCTATGTCCCCGTGCTCACTGGGTATTTTATAAGACGGTTTCTTGTACAAAAGAAAATGGCAAATTTTTTTGAATTTTTTGGTTCAATTTTGAAAACTTGCATTTTTTTGAGGAAAAAAATTATACTTTAATGATGACAAGCAATTCTTTTTCTGTAGAAAACTAACTTTTAAATAAGCTCAAGAACATTAAAAAACTTTTATTATTTTAGAAGTTATTCAAATATTTGTGAAACATTAAAAATGAGGGTTTTTGAAAATATCTAAATGTAATGTTGGCCAAATCACTTCTAAAAAGTCTTATTCTTCTCACAATTTTATCATCTTCTAGTAAATGAATAGAAAAAAATTTTTAGTTTTTATACATTTTATGTTTTATGATGTTTTTCATTCACCAAAAAATAGGTGGACTCTCAATTCTGACCGGTAGTGTATATTTGACTTACTTCTGAGAACTTTCTCCTTCTTAGGTGTTAATTGTTTTCGGGGAGACCTCCCTTTGATTTGAACCAATTTTCCAGGACGACTGGACCGAACATATCTGTTGACAAGTTTTTCCCTTGACCAAAGTGCAATGGCTAGGGTTTTTACAAATTTGCAACAAGTTGTTTGATTCTTAATGTCATCAAAGACACTTTCTCTAAGGGATATACCTTCACCCAAATGAATGCGTCTTGTCTGAAATTTAAATTTACTTACATGAATAAAATTAATTTCAATTCATTTAATATCGTTATTTTTTCTATATTTTATTATTAACTTCTTTGGAATAGTTGATATTGTAAATAAATGAGGCTTGCAACATTTAGGATGTTTCTAAATATCACGAAAAGTTTTTTAAATTGAAATTATTTTAAAAAGTTAAATAACAAATAGGGTAACTGCACCAGTGGTGGATCAATTAAGCCTACTAAATTTATTATTTTGACTTTAAAGGGGTACAGATTTTTTCAGATGAAAAATATAGGGTTATCTTTACAATAGTATGAATTAACAAGTCTTCAAGGACACTATCGTGTAGTTTTCGACCTGCTTGTAACGTTTACACCCCCTCACACCCCCATTCAACAATAAAATGACATTGCTCCAGTCGTGGATCATTTACCCCTTTACACTACACAAAAAAAACTTAATGATATAAATTTTTTTCCAAAAGTATTCTATATGGAAAGAATTGATTACTTTCTACTCTAAAAATTAAAAAAATTTAGACCAAACAATTATTTTTTAAGATTTCATGTGAAAAAGCATAAAATCAACAATTGTTGTATTGCTTTGTTTTCCTAAATATTTTCAAATGATTTTATTTCATAAAACTTATCTATACACCTCCCCTAAACGATTGAAACATTTAGTTCAATTAGAAATAGCTTATTTTAACCTTTTTAACGCTGTTGATCCACCATTGGTACCTGATCCACCACTGGTGCATTTACCCTAAATGAATCTCAAATTAAATAAATATGAATTTTTTAAATAATTAAAATTGTTTGAAATTGAATTATGTTATATCCATTATAAATTTATGAATATATATGGGGCATTCCACGTCACCGGGAGACCCCCTCTGTCCAAAAATGGTTTTGTCTAAAAAATTATTTATTTGCTTAAAATTTAGTTTATTATGTCTACTTTTAAGTGCAAAGTGGCACCTTTTAAAATTGCAAATGGCGGATCCAATATGGCGGACTTAGTAAAAAAAATTAAAAAATTACCAAACATGCTTCAAAATATTTACTCGGGGGTTTTCAAAAGCGCTAAAATCGATTTTGACATTAAATTTTCTAAACTCAATATGGCGGATCCAATATGGCGGCTAAAATTGAAATTTCTTTAAAAATGGTCGGATTTTCTTGGAATTTATAACTTAGGGGTCCAATTAGCTTGAAACTTATCACTCAGTGGTTTTTGGGGTCGCTGATTACGAATCTGATGTTAGTTTTTCGAAATTCAAAATGGCGGATCCAAGATGGCAGAAGACATTTTTAAAAATCGATCCAATTTGCCTGAAATTTGTTACTCGGGGGTTTTTGGGGTCGCTAATTACGAATCCGATGTTCCTTTAAAAAAATGTTTTAATTTCAAAATGGCGGATTAAATATGGAGGGCAATTTTTTAAAAATTTGATCCAATTTGCCTGAAATTTGTTACTCGGGGGTTTTCAGGATCGGTGATTACGAATCTGATGTTAGTTTTTTAAAAAAATTTGAATTCAAAATGGCAGATGTAAGATTCGTTTGTAATAGAGATTAAAAATTACATCGCATTGGTACTCCTAGAATTCCGCATTCACCACGACGCCCAGTGCAAGATTTGGCGAATCTCGCATTGACAAGTCGACACTCTCAATAAGAAATCGGGTACCTCCCAATTTTATTTTTTTACATAGTTATTGTACAATTTTTTTTACCATTTTACATTCTTTCGATAATTAACATTAATTTTTACCTCCTCGACCATTTGACTTACGAAATGTGGGTTTTGAAAAATCTTGACCGACGTCTGGATGTAAATTCCCTAACTAAACGCTAACAGCATATTTCAAAACGAACGCATTAACCACACCACCAACATACAGTGGTCAGAATCTGCAATTTGCTGTTCAAGAAAGTTTACCCTGTTGAAAATTCCTATGTGAGAACACATATGGGATCCCATCCAGGATCTCTTGTGAGTTCTTATGTGGGTTCCCATACAGGTTCACACATAAGATCCTGTATGAAAAGGTTCCTGGGATGAACTTGCGTGAGATCAAGCGCACGATCTTATGTCTCTGTAAAAGCAATAACACAGGATCACATGAGGTTTCCTGTGTAGGTTCCTATATGAGCAACACGATAAATAGGAACACACATGGGATCTTTTCCGAGATCTTGTATGAGTTCTTACATAGGTTCTCACATATAAGAAGATTAATAGCAGCTTAATAAGATTTTATATGAAATCTTATTAAGCAGCTTAATTTTAAATAGTTAAAGCAGCTTAATAAGATTTTATATGAAATCTTATTAAGCTGCTATTAATCTTCTTATATGTGAGAACCTATGTAAGAACTCATACAAGATCTCGGATAAGATCCCATGTGTGTTCCTATTTATCGTGTTGTTCATATAGGAACCTACACAGGAAACCTCATGGGATCCTGTGTTATTGCTTTTACAGAGACATAAGATCGTGCGCTTGATCTCACGCAAGTTCATCCCAGGAACCTTTTCATACAGGATCTTATGTGTGAACCTGTATGGGAACCCACATAAGAACTCACAAGAGATCCTGGATGGGATCCCATATGTGTTCTCACATAGGAATTTTCAACAGGGTACAGCCTTCAAATTTTAACAAAAATTCGATGATTCTTGTTTTAGAATAATAGGGAATAAATACTTAAAATCTTTAAGGGGAGGCACCACCCCCAATTTTGACCCACTTTAATTTACATTATTAAACGAGGTTCTATTTTTTTTCTTGCATCATTTAGGTCCTAAAAACATACAGGATGGTCAAAAAAATAAAATTTTAATTTTTGACAATTTTAGAAATTAAATTTTTAAAAAAATTAATATTTTAAATATCTATCTTCTTTTTCAATTTTGACTATTTTTCATCGCCAATTTTTTTCCACGCTTTTTTAATGATTCTTAAGAATCTCTCGCATGGATTTTCAAAAATTTTAATTTTTTCAAAAAAAGAGCGAAAAATATAAGTTAAAACATCATTACACTCTCCTATTAAATATGTATCTTCTTTCACAATTTTAAGTATTTTTCATCGTCAAATTTTTTCCACACTTTTTTAATGATTTGTCAGAATCTCTCGCATGGATTTTCAAAAATATTAATTTTTTCAAAAAATAAAAATTCTAAAATGGTCAAAAATTAAAATTTTCTTTTTTTGACCACCTTATATGTTTTTACGACCCAAATGATGCAAGAAAAAAAATATAACCTTATTTAATAATTTAAATTTAAGTGGGTCAAAATTGGGGGTGGTGTCTCCCCTTAAGGAAGCACTTCTTTGAATTTTTGAGAAAAACGCGTTTGAAAAAATGTATCGTAAAATTTAAATAACTATTTAAAGTTATTTAAATAACTATTTAAAGTGCTTACATTTTAATCTGTTATTCCAGCACCATACATTATTTAAAACCTTTACTCTATCTATACAAAACATGTCAAATCATAAAGTGACTTCTTCAGCGACGTCGCTACTAATCTGCTTGCTACTCCGAGCGAGCTTCATTCATTGACTGTAGCACAGAGAGGACATCGCATTTCGCTTTAAAAAATGTTCAAACCTATTTTTAAATATATAAGCTAACTATTTACGTAAAAAATATCGATTTTTTGAACTCTCTTATATGGTTTTACCCCTTAATAATAATCGTATATTAATGTTTACAAAAACTTTTTTTAAATTGCTAAGGGACCACATGAATGCTCAGGATTATTTATAGTGTATAATAGAGTGAAACCCAACTTGTAAAAAAATGTTATTGATCAAGTGTGAATAGGGTAGTTGCACCAGTGAAAGAACAAATTGCTTATTTATCACAATATTTCACAAATTATAATTTTTAGCACTATAAAAAAATATTTTTTAGTTCCTTGTTTCTTCAAAATATATTTTATGATAAAGCAATCCATTTAATGTGCAAGTTATTTTTGAAAATAGTTTCTTATGTTTTCAGTGTGTTATGTAAATGATAAATGAACAAAATATGAACAGAAAATAGGTTACAAGTTATAAAATTAAATCATATTTTTGGATGCGTAATTAAGAAAACATAGTTAACAGTAAATTATAAAATTGTTTCAGAATATGTGTAACATTTTTTTATAATCTTTCTAGGCTCTGCATTAATATAAATTTACTATGTTCTTTCACTGGAAAATACAATTATCCTTTTACTGGTTGATGTTCTTTCACTGGTGAAATAGACGGTTTTCAATATATGATTAAAATTTTAAATATTATATTATATTTATAAATTTTTTATCATATGTTTCAAATTCTATAGGAATTTTGATATTCAATGCATATGTTTAAAACGAAATTCAAGAATGGCATTTAAAATTAAAAAATGTCGAAAGAATGCATTCCCTTAAATGTTCTTTCGCTGGTGCCACTACCCTAAATAAAATAAATAAATTTTTTAATTTATTGAAGTTAATAACTGAATAACGCATTTATTTATATGTTGAACAGTTTTTTTTCTCCAATTGTTTTTGAACTTAGTCACAATTGACAGTTACACTTGAATATTTTTTAAACAAGTTGTAAATTTAGATATTCATTACATGAACATTTTGCTTCCCCTTTACGATCAGCAAAAAAATTTGCTTCCTCGTGAAGGAAGCACCATTACAAGAACTATTTATTGATTAGTTCTTGATGCAAAGAATAAGATTTTTAATCGTCTTTATGTAATGGATAAGGTTTTATTGCACAGTTACATAAAGTTAAACAAAAAATTGAATTTTTAATAAAAATGTAAATTTATCGGCTTTAATTATGATTAATTCTCTAAATTCTGATATAATTTATACTTTATGTAGACAATTCGATTCGTCTTGATGCAAAGAATAAGATTCTATCATATATTAAATTCAATATCCAACAAAATAGACACCGTTTTAACAAAGTTGAAATACAAAAAAAGAAAAAATTCAAAATATTTGAAAAATTAATAAATTTATATTAATTTTGGGTAAATTGTAAAAGTTATATATATTATAATCGATTCTTTTCGATGCAAGGAATACAATTTTGTTATATATCAATTTGAACTGCAATAAAGGAAAAAAATTTTTGGCTAAAATGTAAATTTCTGATTTTTTAATTTTGAATAATTTTTTTATTTTAATTTGAATTAATTTTGTACTTTATATCTATATATCAATCGATTCGTCTTAACGTAAGAAATAACATTTTACTACATATTAACTTAAATTTGTCCCAAAAAAAATTTTTTTCATTAAAAACGAATTTTTGGAAAAAATTTGATAAAATTTTTTTGTCGATATTTTTAAAAATCCTTGTGTCCATTTTGAGATATTAATGTGACAAAAAAGCCTGGAAAATTTTAGCCAAATCCGTTAAAACGTATTAAATTTATCGTGTTCACAAGAAATCGGGATCCACACACACACACATATACATACATCCGGACATTTGATCAAGGACTTATATATATCATTTATACATAGAAAAAAGTTTATTTGAAACATTTTTAATAATTTTATAATTTGAACGACTACATAGCTTTCTCCACGAGGAAGCAAAAGAGTAACTTTTTATTGTCGTAAACAAATTAAACTGACAAATGATCAGCTTGTTTGTTTTTTATATAAACAGAATCGTTTGTCTTCTTATACTTATGTAAATTCTTTTATTAGTAACAGTTTATCATAAATGTTTTTAAAATGTGTTCTTTGATATTGCTATAGACAAATTAAATTAGCAAATGAACAGTTCACTTGTTTATCATTAAAAAGGAATCGTTTTTCTTTTAACAATAACAATTCATAGACCATAGACTTTTTTGAACAGTGAATTGTAGATTTTTTTAATTACTTTCAAGGATTCTCATTATAAGTTTTGAAGTTGTTGTCATGTTAATGGACCTGTGTTGTATTTCTGACATGAATTGAATACTGGTTAAAGGTTAATTAGATGTCTATAAATCAGTGTCGGTTCTCCGATATTAAGTTATCACAGACCCAAAATTTATTTAATGTCAAAAGATTTTCGATTAGCTCTCGATACGCAGCAAACTGTAAATTGCACAAGTGGAAATCAAACATTTTTCCCCTAAATGCATAAAATGCTATTCTCCGTGTATGCATATGAAAGTACCTATCGATTCATAAAGAATGACTTACGTTATTGTCAATACTAATTTCTCTACAGATAGCGACTGATACTTTTTTAAAAACTATTTTTTGACATCAGGAGATCATAAAACGAGAAGAATTACAGGAATTAGATAATTGTCAAAATCGAACGAATCTAAACCTTCCTATTTTTTTTATGAGAATGCAGAAATATATCACCACCATTTTAAAGTAAAACTAAAAAAAAATAAATATTTATACACAGTTGTTTGAATTACATTAAAAGAGTCAAACTTACTTTTGATTTCTCACAACGAAATACTTTATACCTCTTCATGTCTAAATTTGGATTGATTTGTAAATCATAATTTGCAGCACGCTCTAGATCCTCGTTCATCTGCAGATTCATATTTTTGTCCTCGGTTTTATCCATCACATCCTCAGTGTCGTCTGTTAAAACAAATTTATAATTACTTCTTTATTAAAAGAAATAACATCGTTTTCACTTCCTTTATACCATGGAAACGAAGATGTCGTTTTTTTATAGCAGACGACAGGGAGTAAAAACATTCATTTCTTTAACCTTATAAAAATGCCCAAAAATTATGTTTGGTTCCATGTGTAATTTTGCCCAAATGTTAAAATAAAGTATAACTTCATAAAAATTGAACAAGTGAATGACTTTTACTCCCTCTTGTCTGCTATCTGAAATCAAAACTTTTGAACAATTATGCAGCATAAGGTTATGTTATATCTAGTGCAAATCAAATTTATCATGTGACAATTTCACATCATAAAGCATATGGTACACTGAGAAACATGTTTTTAAGGGGAGTTACCACCTTCATTTTAAGTCCTTTAAATTTTAATAGTCGCAGGAAGTTATATTTTTTTCTTGCATCATTTCGGTTCCAAAACATATAAGGTTGTCAAAAAAAGAAAATTTTAATTTTTAACCATTTTAGAATTTTTATTTTTTGAAAAAAAAATATTTTTGAAAATCCATGCGAGAGATTTCTGAAGAATTAAAAAAAGTGAGAAATATTTCATTCAATCTCTTGAACACCTTAAAGTATACTATCGAAAAACCAATTTATAAAGTTGCCACTAGTTGCTTCCGACCTCTCCCAAAAAGTACTTTAGCGGTGGTCAAGATTTCTAAAAAAACTAATGGACATATCTTTCTCAAATTTGGCACACTTCTTCTAGACAGTATTGACTAGTGATAAAACGAAAAGTTTAAAAAAAATTAGGGATGATAATCTGCAATCGTAATCGATTTTAATCGAAAATCGAACTGTTAGTAAAAAATCGAATTATTATAATCGATTTTAAGTTACTAAGAATCGAAATAATTTGAATAATGCAGTTGATTATTCGACCAAAGTAGTACTCATTTTTGTTGGTTGATTATCAATTTTGTTTGTCCAGTCAGGATGAAAATCGGGCGGATGGTGTACCCACCACTCCGTGCAGAAAGAACGTTATTATTAACTTTCTATGAGACAACTTCTTGACAATGTTTCTTTATGTTACTTTCTTTACTTCTTTATGTTCTTACATACCTTCAGGATGAAAAGGCTTCTTTGACGTAAATCGTAACTGCTAATTTATCAGAGTTTCATAAATATATGTAGATACAGATTCACTGAAGGTTCATATATATTCATTATTTTACAAGAAACAAAAAAGTTCTCTTACAATACACGCCACGTCTACGGAAAACTTGTAAGTCGTGATTGAATATATTCTCATGTCCATGTGGAAATTGAATCTGGGCACCAACCATCCCATTGTCGGGAAACACTACTATAATAGTTCGGCGTGCTGTTCGAGCTTTAACCAGGTTCCAGTCAGAAACGTCACGGTGTTTTATTCAGGGGCTAATTATTTGCTAAAATAAATAACAGATTTGAATTAAAACTAAAAAAACAAACTCTGTCAGGGCAAACTCGTGCTATTTCCACACGGGTGTTTATCCGACAATAATGTTGTTTAGTTTTTTATACAATGAATTTCTAGATTGAAATTTTTCAGCAGACACACACATGAATAAATAAACAGAAAGAAAAATTAATTTATGAACCATAATTAAATCTGTATCTACATATATTTATAAAACTCCGAAAAATTAGCAGTTACGATTTAGGTCAAAGCAGCCTTTTCATCCTGAAGACATGTAAAAACATAAAAAATTATCAAAAAAGTTGCCACATAGAAAGTCAATAATAACGTCCTTCCTGCACGGTGTGCCACTGAAATGCGCTAATTGTTAAATCAAAATGCTTGTGCATGAAAATTAAACCTATTGGAGGTATGGGAAACATTAAAACACAAATTTCCATGAGTTTATAAAGTGGCGTTAGATTTTCTTCCGATATTAGCGACATCAGTAGGGGAATACAGTCAGAGTTAGACACACTTTTGGTTTTTTGTTTATAACTTTCTTATTTAAATAAATTCAGTCCATTGTGGCATGTGGTCGGAAAGATCTACAAAAGAGAAACACTTTTGCTGAAGATCGTAAATTGATTGGTCTAAAATTAAAAAAGTTATGAACATTTAAAAAATAAAAAAATCTAGTGGGTGTAAATATGTAGGTATATTAATTTATAAACTGCGCCAAATTCATAATTAATATGGGTGTTTAACCCTGACTAGACGTACCATTTTCTAATTTGCGCCAATTTTCACTATCATTTTCGTAATCAGCGCATAAAAATACGTAGATATGCATAGTTTCAGAACAATTGAACATATGCGCTAATCGGAAGTACACCCTTTTTCTCATTATAATAATTTAATGAAATATCGTTTTCAGAAAAAAACGTAAAATTTTCTTTTGACAGTTATTTACAAAAAATCGAATAAAATCGACTTTGAGTAATGAATAATCGATTTATTTTTAAGAGTGTCCAAAAATCGATTGAATAATTATTAATCGATTTTATGATTTCGATTACCATCTCTAATATGTAAATAATCGATATATGGAGTCGAGCTCGGCTCTCTAAAGAATTCATAAATTAAATAATATTATGCTTACCATCACTGTCACTGTGATCCACTTTCTTATCTCTCGACAGACTAGGAGCTGAGAGTTTCAATTTTTTTATGTTCGATTCATTATTATTGCCATTAAAAAGATTTTTTTTAACTGTTAGCAAAGGTTTATTATTAATTTCCTCCGTATCCTCTTCTGAAGATGTGCAATCTTTTTCTTGTAATTTTTCCGGAGTTTTTTTTCCAATTAAAGAAATTTTATTAAACAATTTTAATTTCTCGTTTAAGTTTTCTTTTTGAACGCTGCGTTTAAAACGCTTTTTTGGGCTCTCCTTTTGATTCCTAGTCTAAATAGAAATTCATATATTAATACAATTAAAGAGAATTTAAAAAATAATTTTTTTATCAAATTTCGTTGAATAAAACAAAAATAATTAACTATTGTTATAAACATTTTATAAACAAATTTAACCACCCTGTAATTATCATTGTGGAAAATAAACTTACAAGGGTTAAATTTTCTAAAAAAAATTAATGTTGGTCATGGGTCTTTCAATTTTTTAAACTTGGTTTAAATTTAGTATGTTATGGCAGAAGAATTAGGAAAAAAAAAATTTCAAAATTTTAAAAATCGTGGATTTTACAGGGCATCAAACATTAAAGTACATTTTATATAAAAGGAATCATTTTGATCCACTCAGTTGGATTTTATCTATATTTTAGGAAATATCAATTACGAACAATTCAATGTGGATTATTTAAAAAAAAGTTTTAATTTGCCTAAAAAAGTAAAAAAATGTTGATTTGACTTTTTTGATCAGAAATATCCCAACGATTTTTTTTTAATATCGATTTTGTTATTGGAAAAAGGACAGAAAAGACAGACGTTTAAAAATCAAGATTTGCGATTATAAATTTTTTTAAGTAGATAAATGTTAAATTTTGAATTTTTAATCATTTAAAATCTTTAGATGCATGGTAAACTTTGCAGAAGATTTCTTTTTTATTTCTGGAACTTAATGATTAAAATTTCCAGTTTATTTAATTGGGCAACATTCAGAAAAATGATTTCTTGGACGTTTTTCATTTAAGTTATGTTCGTCTGTTGTACAAAACAAAAAAAAATTGAGAAGTAAATAATATTGACTCGTACTTAGAAGCGAACGGCACATATATTTTTTCAATAATACACTTTAAATTGTTGGTAAATCTATTATTGAAAACCCATGACCAACATTAAATTTTTTTTAGAAAATTTGACCCTTGTCAGTTGATCTTCCACAATGATAAGTACAAGGTGGTTAAATTTGTTTATAAAATGTTTATAACAATATTAATTATTTATTTCATATTTTTTCTTTTGTCAGTATGTGTATAAATAACTTAATAATCAAAATAATAGGAAGGATTAACGAATCAGGAAATAAAGTAGAATTGTACATTCTTTGAAAGAATTACATTATTTTTATAAATGGTCAAATTCTTCGCAGAAATTCAATTATTTTCAAACCAATTTTAATAAACAATCTCAAGAGTATTCAATTATTTTTAAAAATTGTAATAAAATTTGTTTACAAAATTTAATTATTCTTAAAAGTTTTTATAAAATGCTTTATTAGAATTTAATTATTCAATAAAATTAATAAATATTAAATTTCTCCTCATGAATTTGATTACTTTTATTACATTTTTTATAAAATATCTCTAAGCAATTCAGTTTGTTTAAAAAATTTGTAATAAAATCTTGGAAAGAATTTAATTATTTCCAGAATTTAATTTTCTATCAATAATTTTAATAAAGTTTAATAATAAAATTATTAATCAAGATTATTAATAAAATCTATTATTTACACTACCGTCAGAAATTGTGCGAACGCTTACACCGCGAGTCATTTAAAAACATACTCGCATGAAAATAGAGATAACTCCAAGAGAAATCAACGTAGAGATTTTTCTTTATAGCGTTGGAAAGCTTATTAAATTCCGAAAAAAATTATGTCTATTCGAAAGAAATTGCTTAAATAGATTTAAATATATCAATGTACAAAGTTAAAAAAATAATAGGAATTGGGCGAAAGCTCCCAATCGAAATCTTCTGTTTCTGTCCTGGAGCACGAACGAAGAAGGCAGTGAGACGTGAAAATCAAACGATTGACAGTCGAATTTTTTCCCCTCGTACTCTTTTTTGAATTATTAGGAAACCCGTCAACATTTTTTATTGTTCTTGGAATGAATAGAAAGCTTAGATTCCAAGGAATAATTACTATAAAGGGCAATTTTTGTTGTCGATTTTTCTGGACCATGCAAGAGGTTCAAGTCAAGTTAGAAAATGAGGAAAAATTTCCTATTATTTTTTCAACTTTGTGAAATGATATATTTGAACCTATTTAAGCAATCTCTTTCAAATATGCATAATTTTTTTCGAAATTTAATAAGCTTTCCAACGCTATAAGGAAAAAGTTTCGACATTGATTTCACTCGGAGTTATCTCTATTTTCATGCGAGTATGTTTTTCAATGATTCGCGGTGAAAGTGTTTGCACAATTTCGGACGGTAGTTTATATTCAAAAAATTAAATAAATCCTTCGAAAGAATTAATTATATTTTCAATACAATTTTTATAAAATTTCACGTGAGAGACAAATTATATTCAATTTTTAACAAAATTTCTTGAATGCATTAAATTATTTTAAAAAATTGTCATAAAATTCTCAGAGGAACTGAATTGCTTTCTTAAAATTTTAATCAAATGTTTACAATTATTTTAAAAACTTAAAAGAAATTCTTCATAAGATTCAATTACTTTAAAAATGTACAATTAAAACTATTAAAAAAAATTCTGAAAATTCAAAGAAGTTTTTCGAAATAATTCAATTATTTTCATACACATGAACTTGTTCCAAATTCGTATGCATTTTCCTGTACAGGAACTGGTCAGAACTTGTACAAGTTCAGTTGCTGATCTTGTACAGGAAATTGTACAAGATCTTGTACAGGGATTTTCAGTAGGGCGTGCTCGGCTCGACCATACGAGCTTTTTGCACACCTCTATCAGTTTTACAAAGTTTTTACATTGACTGCATTTGACAATCTCATGCAAAGTGCTAGAAATTTTCTAATTCTATCATTTAAATATTATTTAAAATGTTATAATTCTTAAATTACTTTAAGTTCTATTCAAAATTCAAGCACTGAGTCAATGAAAATTCTACGTACATCTTTTTACGTGCAGTAAAGTACGTACATATTAGATTTTTAAATGTTAGTAAGATTATATTTACATAAAAGCTATTCTTACTTTCACTATGCTAACGACGCGTACAAGTAATTAAGTTTTCTCACAAGTAACACTACCCAAGTGCCTCCTCCAGATTGATTTTTAACCATATACGTCTTAAAGAGTACCAAAAAATATATGATACGTATTGTTTCTAGCGGCTGCGATGTTGATTTAAGGGATGTAAATAGGGGTTAAAATATTCAATTTCTATTAATTTAATAAGACGAACTGACATGCGTTGATTCGAATAGTACTATTAATTTTTTTATGTTTCATAATTCAAAATAAATTGTTTAAACAATAGAAACAATAATTTATTGTAATGTCCATGCTTGTTTTAATAATTTGTCTTGATCCAGAGTATTAATGTTCATGAATTATTCCATTAAACATATCAGATCGTCTTATTAGATTAATAAAAATTAAATATTTCAATTCCTATTTTCATCCCTTAAATCAACATCGCAGCCGCCAGAAACAATACGTATCATATATTTTTTGGTATTCTTTAAGACGTATATGGTTAAAAATCAATCTGGAGGAGGCACTTGGGTAGTGTTACTTGTCATTCTAACTGCTTCTGGACAATTACAATTAGCCTAATGTATGATTTGTCTAAGTGTCTTTGCATTTAAAAAATTATTTAATTTTATAAACTGAAGTGACTCCAAGCTTCTATTTGCAATCACTGTAGTTAATTTATCACGTTGAATTCATTACAATATGTGCAATTTATTTCTTTAAGAAAGAACATTATGGTTTTGTAGAGAATCACACTTATATTAAATTTAAGTGTTCCAAGGGCTAAATCGATTCATTTAATTTTTAAAATATAATTATAAAAGCAAAACATTCTATATATGTATAGACGAACAAACGGATTGACACACAGACACCACTTAGATCTTACCTTCCTTTTCAATTTGTTTTCGAATGGCGTTTCCTCGTCCGGAGACAGAGTATCGTCTATTTTTGAAGTTAAAAATTTTAAGCGGCCACCGCTTTCAATCTGCTCCTTCACATCATCTACAGAATCTTGAATGAATAGAGATTAATGTTAACATTCGCCTGGCAATTTATAAAATGTTAAATATATTTTATGCAATTAGAATTTTGAACTCTTTAAAATTTGAAAAATATAGTTTCATAATCTACAATGTTTTTTCTATTTCAAAGACAAGTTTAGAATTTTTGAGTTTTATCGGAGCTTTTCGTTCGTGTTATTATATTAAATTAAAAATGAAATATAATCAAATTAATTTTTGTAATTAAAAATTAGTTTTTGAATTTAAAAATCGGGAGTGTTAGTTTTCGTGCAAAGGCATTTTAGGAGTGTTTTCCTTCGTAACACCCGTCGAAATGTAGTTAATAATTATTTATTTGTTTCATTGAATTTTAAGGGGAGGGACCGCTGAAATTTTAACACATCAAAATTAAAGCTGTTTAAGGGTGGTCAATTTTTTTTCTGACAATATTAATTATTTAAATGTATAATATATCATGAAAAATTAAAAAACTATAAATTTGTTAATAATTTTTAAAATCAAATTCAAAATTCTCGAAAATTTAAAATTTAAACTTCTCTCACAATTTTAATTATTTTTGACTGCCGATTTTTTTATACGCTTGTTTCATGATTCTAAACAATCAAGCGTATGGATTTTGAAAAATTTCAATTTTTTCAAAAAATGAAAATTTTGAAAAATAAAAATATTTGTAAAATTGTTAAAAATTACCTTTTGTTGTTTTTCTCAGTAGAATAAGATTTTTAGTTGAAAAAAATGTTGAAAAAAACTATTACCCCTAAACAAGATCAATTTTCATTGCTTTCAATTTTAGTGGTAATTTTGAAAAAAAATTAAACAACTTCCACAATTTTCATTATTTTTTATTGTCGAATTTTTTTTACGCTTTTTTCACGATTTTAAACAATCAATCGTATGGAATTTAAAGAAATTTAATTTTTCCAAAAAATAAATTTTCTAAAATGGCTAAAAAATTTTTTTTTTAAATTTTAATAATTTATAATAATTTTGGATCCTAAATTATGCCAGAAAAAAAATTGACACTCTTTAACAATAATAACTTCAGTAGGCTGAAATTTCACCAGTCCCTCCCCTTAAATTTAATTGCCTTATATTTAATTCTTTTTATCAATAATTTTATTCAATAAATTTAATTTTTCGAAGGAATTAAAATTTTTTAAATTTCAATTTTAAAACTTCTAAAATTCAATATTCTTGAAAATTGCAATTGTAACTCTTCTAAAATTGAATTATGTTCTGGAATATTTAACTAAACTTCTTTAAATCAATTATTTTTCATAATGTTGGAAAAAGTTCTTCGAGACTTTAATTAATTATAACAAAACAGTTGCGTTAAAATTCGCTTGAAATTCAATTTTTTCAATTCAATTCAAAATTTCATTATTCGAGAAAAGAAAAAATAAATAAAAATTCTAAAAATATATCTGATTTTCTGAAAATCGTATTAGATTCATATCAGTGATTTTTGAGATGAATTTGGTAAAGTTTTAAATGATTAATTGGATCCGACATTTTGAGTTTAGAAAATCTGATGTCAAATTTATTTGTATCGAAATTTGTTAGTTTTTTATATACGTTTTCAAGTAATATACATTTAAAATTTAATTCTATTTTTTTTCAATTTCTAAAATGAATTTAATTACAATTCTTGAGATTTATTGAATTTCTATGAAGAATTTTATTATTTATTACTTTAAATAATTGAACTCTTCACAAAAATTTTATTATTGATGATGAAAGGTATTGAATTCTTCGCAAAAATGCTATTGAAATTTTAGAAAATAAATTCTTTCGAGTAATTTAATTAAAATTTTATTGGAAATAATTCAATTCTTATGAGAATGTAAATAAAATTATATTGAAAATAAAAAGATGAATTTATAAATAAAAATAATAATTAATTGAATTAATTTATTATCATTTAAGTAATTGAAATGATAATAATTAAATGTAGTTAATAATTATTTATTTGTTTCATTGAATTTTAAATTTGCTTGCCTTGTATTTAATTCCTTTTATCAATAATTTTATTCAATAAATTTAATTTTTCGCAGGAATTAAAATTTTTTAAATTTCAATTTTAAACCTTCTAAAATTAAATTATTTTTTAAAATTACAATTGTAACAATTGTTCTGGAATTTTTAACTAAACTTCTTGAAATCAATTATTTTTCATAATAATTGATACATGGTAATATGTACATGGTAATAATAAATAAATAAAGTTGAAAAAAGTTCTTCGAAATTTTAATTAATTATAAAAAAACAGTTGTGTTAAAACTCCCCTAAAATTCAATTGTTTTCATATCAATTCAAATTTTGATTATTCGAGAAAAGAAAAAATAAATAAAAATTCGACGAAATCCGATTTTATAAAAATTGTATTAGATTCAGTGATTTTTGAGATGAATTTTGTAAAGTTTTAAATGATTAATTGGATTCGACATTTTCAGTTTAGAAAACAGTTTAAGAAAAAGGTGACTAATTAACAGAAAAAGTGAAAAAGGTGACAAAAGGGGACTATTTGTGATGCCTGTTATAGAAATAAGCTGTTAAATATGATGTTTTGAAAGTGACCTTCATAGGTGACTGACGATCAACAAGAAAAAATTCATAATATTTATTTCAAATTTTCCAGTAACTTTTGTCATCTTCAAATTGATGGAATCGAAAAATTTCACAAGATTTTATGAGAATAATAATTAAATTCTCTGTATCAAAATATTATTTACTTCTTGGTATTTTATACACATGAGGGGCTTGATGCTATAAGGAGATACGTGCCATGTTAAGTAAATGGCGCGTATCACCTTATAGTATCCAGCCCTTATATATATATATATATATATATATATCAATTTAAAAAAGACAAAGTTGCCGGAAAGTATTAAATAATTAACAAACTTTTAAAAAATAGAAAATGTATAAAAAATAAAAATAAAAAAAATAGGAAAATAGAAATGTATAATTTTATATATTTATCTTACCTGATATGAAGAAAATTTGGGCACGATGAAATTTATTATCACTTCCGCGCACACGTTGAATTTTTTTCAAATCAATGTTATTAAAATCAAAATGTTCAATGTCCTTATCGGCAACGATTTTAAACTCTAGACTCTTACAAAAACGCACGTAGGCAAACTTCTCACTGTCGTCCTCTGACATTTTTAAATTATATTTAAAAAAGCACCACAAAATTTTGGATACGCAACAGGAACTTGGCGAGAGCACGTGAGGATTGAAAGAAATAAAATACCGCCTAATGCCACAGTCCCAGCTAGTAGAGTAGTGGAACAGACTTGACCAATTACAGAATTGGATTTTTTGTAAACTTTTTCTGATTGGTCAATTCCATTACACTTTTTCACTATTCCACCTACATCATAGGATAAGGTTATTCAAGTTGGGTGGGGGAAAGCCAAGATGGATGATGGCTGGTGCACAATCAGCCTATCAGCATTCATTCCCACGAGAAATTTCTCGTGGGAATGAATGCTGATAGGCTGATTGTGCACCAGCCATCATCCATCTTGGCTTTCCCCCACCCAACTTGAATAACCTTATTGTACTCTTAGGGTGCTCGCACAAGGACTGCTGTTACAGTGAAGGCCTGAGCAGAATAGAAACGTAACCGGAATCGTAATCGTAAACGCAACCGGAAGAATAAGTTAGAGAAGGACAAACAATCTATCTATCCTTCTCTAACTCATTCTTCCGGTTGCGTTTGCGATTACGATTCCGGTTACGTTTCTATTCTGCTCAGGCCTTGAGCAGGATATGCATGAAGTTGGATAAAATAGGACAGATTTATCATTGTGTCCTTTTCTACCCCATTTAACAAGTCTCCAGCACACAGTACCGACATTCCTTGTGCGAACAACCTAAGGCTGCTCGCACAAGAAAAGACGAAGCAGTGTGCAGGATGTGTTTTAAATGAGATAGAAAAAGACAGTAATATCGCTCTTTCCTTTTTTATCTCATTTGAAACACATCCTGCACACTGCTCCGTCTTTTCTTGTGCGAGCAGCCTTAAGGCGCATTCAGACTTTCGACTGCCTGCACAGGCAGCCTCCCAGCACGCTGAAAACGTACAAGAGTAAGAGAGACAGACATCAGTAGATTCAAATTTGAATTTTCTATCTCTCTTACTCTTGTACGTTTTCAGCGTGGTGGGAGGCTGCCTGTGCAGGCAGTCGAAGGTCTGAATGCGCCTTAATGGTGCGGTCACAGTTGGGTTACATGCGCAGACAGAAATGAAGTAAAGGCCTAAAGGCCTTTCTCCAATTGCATCTAAAACTATGCGTTCCGAATGCGTCGCGTTGATTTTAGCATTGGTTACCATAGCAACTAAACGCAGCGCATTTGTAAAACATGCTCTTGGGATCCTATTGGGATCAGAAATCACGCGAAACTGACCCACCTCTGAGCCTTCTTGTGACGTCCATTTTGGTTTTTTATCTCTTTCTTTTGCATAAGTTAGAGAAAGACGTAATGAAAACATGGCCACCACAACAAGGCTCTCACCAGATGGCGTATCGCAGTATTTCAGATCCCAATTGGAGAAAGGCCGTCATACACAGCCTAAGGGTGCGATCCCATGTGAAATGAATAAGTCGATCGAAAGCAGAAAATCATGAGTGCAAACGAGCTAGGTATATATTGTTATTCTTTTCACTCTCATAATTTTCTGCTTTCGGTCGACGTATTCTGCTCACATGGGATTGCACCCTCACGTACCTGACTCAATTGTGCTTAGGCCTTTATATATAATGGAGCTTCTACAATAAGTACAAGAGCAAGTACAAGTGCAAATTGGTTATGTTTGGGTGCGCGCGCATCATATTGACTTTTACTTTTTTAAGATAAATGATAATAAATAATAATTAATTATTAAATTATGAGTAATTAATTAATAATTGAACAATTAATTAACTAATAATGAGCAATTACCATCAATTATCTTTAAAAAATAAAAAACACAACCAATTTGCACTTGTATGTACTTGGACTTGTACTTATTGTAGAAGCTCCATAAAGGCAGTTCCAGAATGGGCGCAAAAGAGAAGTGCAAGTACAAGTGCAAGTGCAAATCCTATGAGAGCAAAAGAGATAGATAGTCGCTTTGTCTCTTTTGCTCTCATGGGATTTGCACTTGGACTTGTACTTTTACTTCTCTTTTGCAATCATTCTGGAACCACCTTAAAAATCTTGAAATTCATATTGGTGTGGGGGGTTTTCTACGTATTATACGTATTTTACATTATGTATAATAGATGAAAATTACTTTTACCCATCTCTGAACCGGAAGGAAAGCTTTAGTGGTTGATACAGGGATGTTTGGCATACTTTCAGATTGTTGCGTGTATGTATTTAATTTTATTTAATAGATGAAAAATCTTTTTAGTTAAAGTGGTTTTTTTATCAAAATTGAAGACGAGTTTAATCCTGGATGAGCTGTTGGCTTTAACAAGTGCAAATATTTTGTTTTAAAAAGTAGGTAAGAATGCAGTGAGGGAGAAATAATTAGTTTAGAATTTTAGTATTTCGTTTAATATTTTATTATATTATAATAAAAATTTTTAATATAAAGAAGAACATCTTTTATTAGAAAGATGTAAACTGTTTTATCATAAAGTTAACGTCGACGCTGTGTATCACAAAATATTTTTCTTTAATAAGAAACAAAAAAAGGTCCCAATTTTTCCAAACTTTTATGTTATATGTATGTAAACTTTTATTACTAGAAAAAAGAGAAAATAGTTTTTGATGCTGAACGTCGACGCAATTTGCAATCAGAAAACTGTTATTAAAGAAATTTTTTTCCACTTTCAATTCGTCAATTTAATAGTAAATTATTTATTTCATATTTTTTCTTTAAATCGTTTATTTAAAAAATAACCTTATTTATCTTACTCGATAATATTCAGATTTATTTAAATAAATTGCATTTTCTTCGATAAAGCATAAAATTATTGGTTCATCTGAATTTTCTTTAAAACCCAAAAAAATCGAATAACCTCGAAAAGCCAAATAATTACTGAAATGTATATATCGTCGAAGATCCACAGAATTGAAAATTCAATTGACATAAATACTAAAACTTCTAATTTTTAATTCATCAAATCCTCAACTATGCAAATGCTTAAAAGATCGGATATTGTTAGCGGTTTTTTCTTACTTTGAATTATTTTTAACTAAAATCGTTTGAATTTACGTTTATTGATAGAGGGTGCCTAACGACCGGAATTAATTACTATTAAGATTACAAGTTCTATAATACAAAAACTTGTTTCAATTTAATATATATGTAATTGTACATTGTTTTGTACAAAATCTTGTATACAGGGATTTTCAGTAGGAAAAATCGGAGATTATGTCTTTTGAGATATTTAGAAATTTAACCTTCAAAGTAAATTTTTCATACTAAGTAGCGCCTCATCGACCGCTTCGCGGTCAACTTCGTTGCTTCCTTTTTTCTATTCAAGAATGACCTTTTTAATTAAATTTGTAACATTAAATTTAATTTATTTAAAATTCATTAAATTTTTATTTACCTTCTAAATTTCAGGGAACATAGTTCGTCCCCTTTTTCCATTTTCCCCTATTTTTCCCCCTTAAATAAAAATTTTCTCCCTTTTTCCTTTTTTTCAGGAAATGTTATTTTTTTCAAACGTGCAAATTGTTGATTAACTTTCTTTATAAGTGTTTTTGTGCAAGTTTCATACAATTTTCATATAATTTTCAGAAACTTTTGTCTCTACATTGCCCAAAATTGATATTTTCTACCATAATTTATCAATTTGAACAACAGAGAAACCAAAAATGTCCATAAAAAAATTTGTGTCTGTATGTATGAATGTATGTATGTATGTCCGCAAAATTTTGTTCGCGATTCACAGGAAAACGGCTGGACCGATAGAAGTGAAACTTGGCAGCTTTTTAGCTATCAATATGACTTAAAATATTAGCCATATTTGATTAAAAAATATCAAGCTGAACGAAAGTTATAAATTTTTTTCAAAAACTTGAAAAAATCAAAATAATGAAAATTTTGTATTTTTTGGCAGATTTATGCGACACTATCTGTAGTTAACTTTTTTTGTTAAATACAACCCATTTTCACATTAAAATTAAAAAATAAACAATAAATCCGAATTTATAAGCCAAATTCAAATTTTTTATTTTAAAACATTTTTTAAATTTATTTTTTGGTTGAATATTGTTTAATTCTTTAATGATATTTGTATTAGTATTTTTTATGTCTTCAATTTTTAATTTCTCATCATTAAATCTATTTTATTATCAATTTAGAAAATTGTAAATTTTTGAATTTTCATTCTTTTGTTAAAATTAATATAATTCTTCAAACAACTGAAATATTCTAATTTTCTTGGGCTTAATTTTAAAAGATATCATATGCATTCAAAATATGTTATTTATTAAAAATTTGATCAGTTTTTGAATAGCAAACAGATGATTAAGTATAATTACAAAAAAAACAAATTTACCTCTGAAAATTATTATAATTTGTCAAACTTAGATTAAATTAAAAAATTGAATTTAAAACTAAATATTCTGTTAGATGAAACCAACATAAGATTTTGAAAAATTAACTGGATGCCAGTTTCAGCTTCATTAAAAGAACATTGACGCAAGTGAATTATTTCTGAAATTATGTTAATTTTAATGAAAGAAGGCAAACTAATTTTCGTATTTTCAACACTAAAAAATTTGAGGTTAACCTCTGACAATGTACTAATATACCAGTAATACCAATACAACCCTGTGTCGAGTTTGTGTTGCCATGATTTCTACCACTTTTTCAGTAAATTAATTAATTAAAATTTTTAATATATAAATATTTAAAAAATTTTATCATTATTTTTTAATCCTTTTTTGAAAGTTTTTTCTTTTAATAAAATTAATATATAGGTTTTTTTATTAAAATTATGAGGCTGAAATTTTTTTTGAGGTTGTAAACGCATGCAAGATTTTACATGGGAGCAATGGGAACATTCCCCTTGCCCTTCACTCCGGCAGTGACAATCCTTAACAAAATTATTCTTCTATTTAAATGTTATTGTTTTTTTTAAATGTTATTGTTCTCTTTACTTTACAAAAAATTATTCTGAGTCAAAATATTTTGTCAACAATGATTTTTTTACATTACATTTTTACAGATCAGATAAAAATTGCAATTTTTTTCTAATGTCTATAATTTATTTTTTTTACATAAGGTTTGAAAAAATTATTTAATTAATAAAATTTGGATCGTTTACTCTAAAAAATTTACAATAAATATATATATAATTAAAGTAATCAATATTTATAAAATGACAAATATTAATATCATTTTGTACCAGAATTTGAATTGGTTTGTCTTGATCATCATCATTGAAAATATCTACAATGCCCATAAGAACTGCTGGATTAATTAAATTCTGATTCAAATTTTCTTCAATTTTTTCCGCTACGTTCAGTTCGGTCAAGCCCTAAGCACAACTACTTCGCGAACGTCGTTCGCGAACTCAAAGCATGAGTTAGAAAAGGACAGATATATATGTGTATCTTTTTCTATCATATGCACCTCGTTCGCGAACGACTTTCGCGAACCTATTGTGCGTTGGCCTTCAGCGAGAGGCAAGAGCCAAGAGGCTAACCGTGAATTTCGAAAAATTTCGATAAAGCAAAGATGTAAACAAAACCAGGTTTCGCAAAACAGCTGAACAAACAAACCTATTCTGTTATAAAACACGAAAAATTACAGCTTGTTTCACGTGCACTACTTGACAGCATTGCTTCAACCAATCAAAATCATTGAAACTAAATAGCTCCAAATAAATAGGTTGAGCACCTTTTGTGGCAACTGACCGGTACGACCGACGACGTCGAAAAAACCCTAGGTGTCTACCATCGTAACCAAGTAATTTACAAGTATTTTACCTGCTTTTGAAGTAAATTACCTGACTTAGGTAATTTACGTCAAAAACCTCTAGTGACACGTCACTGCACAACCCTGGCGAACCGGCCATGACAGTTCCATTCTTTGATATAAATATACGTATCAAAGAGTGACCCTGTATCCACTAACTTTCTTAAAAATTACATATATTCGTATTAACTTAATAAATTATACGGTATCTAAACGTTGCCATCTAAAATGATACATTCCATAAAACTGTAAAATGAACTCATTTTAAGTACAAACCATTAGCAATGGAATGTGAACACGTCTTTAAATATTTCACTATTTTTTGAGCGAAAAAGTTGTGAGAGCATTGTAAATTGTAGATTCACCTTTAATCGAAATGTCAACAACATAAACAGAGGTTAGTGTATTTCACATTATTTTGAATACAAGTTTTTTCTAAGTAAAGTGCTTATTTTATATATTTGCTCACTTCTCTCATTTTTAATATGTTAATAAATCAATTATCAATACCAAAAAGTGTATAAAAGTGATTAAGTTAAAATGTTTAATTTTGAGTTAGTGCGAACCGGCCATGACAGTTCTATTTTGACACAAATATTCGTATCAAAAAATGATACTGTATTCACTATCATTCTTAAAAATGATACATATATTCGTATCAAAACGTTACCATCTAAAATGATACATTCCAGAAAACTGTATATTAACAAAAATTATTTAATTATAATTACATGTTGGTTTCAGTTTCAGCTTGTGGCTGAATATATTATTACAGGTAAAGGTGTATAATTATAAGTATCTTATCAAGTCAATATATAAATCTTCTTTATTAAAAAAATAATAGAAGCTTTTCGATCGCAACACGTTGATCATCTTCAGGAACCAAAAAATAAAATGTTTATTAATAATCGGTTAGGTGTTTTTTAATAAACTAAACATTATTAAATTAAAAATATTATTTAAGTTTAGAATGTAATTTAATTGGAAATTTTGTCAAATTGAGTTGAAATAAATTTTATATGTTTATTTTTAAAAATTATTTTTAAATATATAATTATATTCTTGAAGAATTTTAAATAAGAATTTAGAAAATAATTGAATTTTGTAAAATTCAGAATTGCAGTTAGCAGGATAAGAAAAAAAGTAAATATTTTTGATAAAAATTAGGAGAAAATCAAGGAAATAAAAGACAGAATAAAATTTTAGTGATTCTTGTGAATTATCTAAAACGGGTTTCTTTAGATATAAAATTTAATTTTTCGATAACTCATTTTTTTACTAATTTCAGTCTTGAAGCTCTTTTTTGATACTTGATTTTCAAAATCCCCCTTTTCCCCTATTTTTAAGTGAAAATGCCACTGTGATCACTGAAATTTTAATTTAATTTGTTATTTGGACAGATATTTTTTTTTCTTTGTTCAATTTTTCAATTTCCAGTTCCCTATATAATTACTTTCCTAAATAACAAATAAACGCAATCATATTTACTTGTTTCAATTTTTCATGTTCTTCATTCATTATTGTACAAAATTGTTGAGTTTTCTCATATTGATTGAACATGTTATAATAGTCCAAAGTGATGGAGAAATTTGAAATTAGCACTTTCCTGTCTAACGTCTAACTAGATCACGTCTAAAATTACTTTTCTTGAAAACTTTAAAAAAAGTTTAAAGTAATTATTACTTATAATTGATCTATTATCAATAAAATTCAAGTCTCTCTGTACATTACGCCAAACTTGCAAATTTTCATATACTCATTCGTTTTGGGACATTATAATTCGAAAAATGTAAAAAAAATTTGTCCAATTGTCTGTCTGTATGCAAAAACTGTTCACGAGCATTACTTAAAATGGTATAACCGATTAAAATAAAGTTTGGCACTCTATTTGATATTAACTTAACTTAAAATAATAGCCGATATTCGATTTAACTCTCTGCCTTTGCTAACTTATCCCCACTCTAACGCTACAGAATGCAATTTTTATAGTCTCCACCAGGCATCCAAATAGACGATTTCTGACGATAACGGTCGTTAGCAGAGGCAGAGAGTTAAAAATATTAACTTGAACGGAAGTTATGACACTTTTTCAAATAATTCAGAAAATCAAAAAAAAATTCATATTTTTTAATTTTTGTATGTTTGAAGCGACATTATCTGTAACTAGCTTTTTAGATGAAAGTCATAATTGATAATCATAATTGATTCTACTCATTATTCGTAAATAAAATATTTTTTGATTTAACAAATTTTCAATTATTAACAGTTGGAAAATTACTGTACAATTTTCAAAATCTCGAAAATAAATTATTAATATAATGTTAATTAACATTAATCTATATAAATAAAATTCAAGTGTTGTTTGTATATTGCTTAGAACTTGAGAATTTAATCATAACTTTCCTTTTCGAGTAATCAAAGTTTCAACAACACCATTAAAGGAAATTCTGTCTGTCAAAATTTGACCAATTAAAACGAAACTGCCAGTCTCGTAGGTATTAGTCTAACTTAAAATATTAATCAAACCTGACTAAATAATCCAACTAAAAGAAAGCTATGGCTTTTTTAAAAAATTTCGAAAAATCAAAGAAATGCATATTTTTTATTTTTTGTCAGAGTGATGGAACATTATATGTAGTTAATTTTCCCAAACAAATACAACCTATTTTCACAATAAAATTTAAATACAAATAATAAAACTGAATTTATAAGCCAAAACCATATTATCAATTTTTAAAAATCTTTTCATTCTGCCTGTCCAACATGTTTCTGTAGCGATATTTTGCACGCATATTACTTTTTCGCAGCACTATAAAACTTTCTAAGGTCCAATCAGAAGTTTCCGGATTTGAAAAATTTTCACTGCAGTTTCCACGATTTATGAATTTTTTTCTCCTTTCTGACAAAAAAATAAATATTAACAGTTTGCACCTTTTGTAGTGCAGATATCAAACTCTTATTACACCAAGCGGAAAATTTAAACATTTCAATATAAAGATGGATTCATCACGAAAGTCTAAATCGCAAAATATCCACACTTGACGGTATTCAACAGAATTGTAGTCATAATAATAATAAGACACAATTTATAATAATAATAATTAAAATGTTTTTTATTATCTTCAAATTTTTTAGTATCAAAACACTACTCCTTTAATATGAAATATTTTTTGAGAACAGAGCAGAAGGAAAGTAAGAAAAAAGTCATGGAATTTTTTTTCAGATTCGCTGGACACCCTTAAAATATATTTTTCTATTATCTTTTGCCCATTTTTATTTATAAATGTATATTAATGTTTTTATCTTAATGCTCAAAATGCAATGTTTATTATTTTAGTCATGAGTCAACGAAAGCAGTATAAAACTCATTTAGATGATGAAAATTGTGCGATTTCCAGAACTTCAAGTTGGAGAAAGAGAAAGAAACTTGAATCGACTAACGAAAATAATTCAACACTTGATGAACCAAGTTCAGTAAGTACAATATTTTGGAATACGCATGTTAGAAATTAAAAAATAATTCACTCTTAAATCAATTAAGGGGAGTCACCACCTTTATTTTGAGTCCTTTAAATTTTAATGATCGCAGGTAATTATATTTTTTTCTTGCATCATTTTGGTCCTAAAAACATACAGGATGGTAAAAAAAATGAAATTTTAATTTTTGACCATTTACAATTTTTATTTTTTGAAAAAAATAATATTTTTGAAAATCCATGCGAGAAAATCTGAAGAATCATTAAAAAAGTGTGAAAAAGATTTGACGATAAAAAATATTTAAAATTGTGAAAGTAGAATACATATTTAATAGGAGAGTGCAATGATGTTTTAACTCATACTTTTCTTCTTTTTTTTGAAAAAATTAATTTTTTGAAAATCCATGCGAGAGATTCTGAAGTATCATTAAAAAAACGTGTAATTAAATTGGCGTTGAAAAATAGTCAAAATTGTAAAAGAAGATAGATATTTAAAATATTAATTTTTTTATGATTTTAATTTATAAAATGGTTAAAAATTAAAATTTCAAAATTATGCAAGAAAAAAAAATAATTACATGCGATCATTAAAATTTAAAGGACTCAAAATAAAGGTGGTGACTCCTCTTAAACGTTAATGAATGATATCATTCCAATTAAAATAATTAAAATATTTTGAATGTATAACTAATATCCTGTTCACCTTCGATTATTCTACAATTTCTACCGCAAATTACAAACACTGCATTTTATTATTGTTAAGAACGTAGATTAAATTGTATTAACCTAATTCTTAGCTTTAATGAACTTGAAGATAATTTATTAGGTTTGAATATAAAATAATTTTGAGAGAACTCCTATATTTCATAAACTGTTGAGGTAAGCTTACATGTAAAGGTTGAGGTAAGATTACACGTAAGGTTGAGGTAAGGTTACACGTAAAGTTGAGGTAAGATTACAAGTAAGGTTGAGGTAAGGTTACACGTAAAGTTGAGGTAAGATTACACGTAAGGTTGAGGTAAGGTTATTAACAAGTTGTAAGGTTGAGGTAAAGTTGTGGTAAGGTTACTAGGTGAAATCAGTATTAACAAAATAATTTATAATATAATTAATAAATAAATATTAAATAATAAAATTAAATTTGTTGCCCTGCTCTATTTTGGAAACCTAACAAGTCGCAGAAAATTTTGAAAACAAATTTTGAAGGACTGGGATTCGAACCCGGGTTCGGTGCGCATAAACCTAAAATCTAACCAACTGAGCTAAGCGGGGAAGTGAAAAATAGAAAATCAATTTTGCTTTTAAGGTTACCAAGAAGATAACTAACTCTTTAAAAGCAAAATTGATTTTCTCTTTTTCACTTCCCTACTTAGCTCAGTTGGTTAGATTTTAGGTTTATGCCCACCGATCCCGGGTTCGAATCCCAGTCCTTCCAAATTTGTTTTCAAAATTTTCTGCGACTTGTTAGGTTTCTAAAATAGAGCAGGGCAACAAACTTAATTTTATAATTTAATATTTATTTATTAATTATTTTGTTAATACTGATCTCACTTAGTAACCTTACAACAACTTTACCTCAACCTTACAACTTGATAATAACCTTACCTCAACCTTACGTGTAACCTTACCTCAACCTTACGTGTAATCTTACCTCAACCTTTACATGTAAGCTTACCTCAACCTTACGTGTAATCTTACCTCAACCTTTACATGTAAGCTTACTGTATGGCGGAAGTTTTAACTTTACCTCAGGTCTACTGTTGGTTTACGATGTAACCTTACAAGCCATTCAAATAAGTTAACATCAACCTTACTGCGAGATATGGTGCTATGTGGGAGTAAAAAAAAATAATTGGGAGTCACGAAAAAGAATTGGGAGTTTGGTTACTGTCTATTCGTTCTGGCGTGTAAACCGTGTAGGGACGTTACGGCCAATTATTTTTTCTTACCCTGAATTCTTTTCACCTGGATTGTTTGAATTGATGTACATTAGCGCGATTTGACATTGTAATTGAAAAAAATGATTGTTTTGAAGTGTCAAAATGCCGATTTGGAATAAGAAATGTGAAATTTTATGAAAAAGACAAAATGTGAAATATGACTGATTTATCGACAATTTTATAATGTGAGTAGTGCTCGTATGGTAAATTTATCATATGAACACTACTTACATGGTAAAATTGTCGATAAATCTGTCATATTTCACATTTTGTCGTTTTCATAAAATTTCACATTTCTTATTCCAAATCGGCATTTTGACACTTTGGAACATGCATTCTATTCATTTGTAATGCAAATTTTGATCAACAAACATCAATTCAAACAATCCAGATGAAAAGAATTCAGGGTAAGAAAAAATAATTGGCCGTAACGTCCCTACACGGTTTAGACGCCAAACCGAATACAAAGTAAGCTAACTCCCAATTCTTTTTCGTGACTCCCAATTATTTTTTTTACTGGGTAGCTAAATTTCCAACAGCTTTTTGACGCTTTAATACCTTCTTAACATCTCTCTATTTCAAAAGTTGAAAAGTTGTTTTTTTTAATTATAAGCTATGTTTTCTTCTTATGTTGGCATATTATACTTAAAAAACGCGAAAAAAATATAGTTGAATAATATATATTGACAGTATGAATATTGCACCTAACAGAATGCACTACAATGCCCCAAAGCAGTTTCACGCGGACTTCAATTTCTAAATAAAAACAAAAAGAAAAGTTAAAACAATACTAGATTCGTGTTCAACAGTAAGTTTTACATGGGAAAAGCACCCACCCGATACTTTTTTAATGAATCTCATATCTTATTTCAAGTCACAAAAAAGTGAAATTATCATTTTCAAATTTAGTGTGTGAACAACATTTCTTACCATAAACGTACACTGCTTTTTGGTAAAACTCTGGACTCGTGTGCTTTGAGTTCGGGGTTCGATTCCCTGGATGGGTAGATTTTTTTCGTAAACAAATGTTCCCTTAATATTACTGTAATATTCTCGTGTAATATTACCTTAATATTACGGTATAATATTACTGTAATATTACCTTAATATTAGCGCGTAATATTCATTTTATAATATTCATAACATGAAAATTCTCACGAGGAAGCAATGTAATATGAAATGAAGACAAAAATTCCAAGTTAAAATAAACTTTCAAAATCAAATTTTTAACAATTTTCCAAATTGTTTGCACAAACCCCAGTCTTACAAACTCCCCAGTACAAAAAGTATTGGAACTTTGGATCTCACTCATTGGAGATGCATCCATCTGATGCGTCGTCGTAAAAATTAAGGATTGGGTTGCATAGTGAATTCGCTAAACCCCTTAAACTGAATACGTCATCTTTTTGCAGGTTAATTATTAAAAATTCATTGATTAAAGTACAAATTCACTTTAAAAACTAACAAACTATACAAACGTTAAAATACTTTTAGGAAAAAGAATTTGTCATTTTTTAGAGATACCACTTTGGATTATAAAATTATCGCTGACAAATAAATTGTGTGAAAATTTACAAATGCTATGCAATGTAAAGACAAAAATCAAGTAATAGTTACACATGACAGCTGAAAATTGTATTTAGTTTAATTACACAGAAGAAAAAAAATTTTTATACACAAATTAACAAATAATAAATATATTATTCATATTCATTGTATTATTTTAAAGTAATATTCTGTTTTTTCAGTTCACACGTGATGAGGAAAAACTAGAAGATGAAGTTGCGTCAATGTCACTTTCGGAAATGGAGGTAAAGATTTTTTTCAAAAAACTTTCCTTAAATATTACTGCACGAAATGAATTGTCGGCACTATAAACATACCTATGTCTAGTTCAGCTCTCGTACTAATACCCTTGTAAAACTGCCATTCCAAAAAGGAAAGAGTAATTTACACTTTGTACATTAGAGAACACCATAGCTACAGGTTTGGTGTATCATTTTTACGAAAGCTGAACAAGAAGTGTGCAGTCTGTAGGGCCGAAATTTTTTCCATGTGCTCAAAACAAAAAAAAATTTGTTCTAAAAACAAATTATTTTTAGAAATCTTCTGAATCGGAGTCGGAAGAACAATGTCATGAAATAGAAGCAGACGATGATTGCTACAATTGGTCAGATATCATATTCGGTGAAGAAGAATATAATGAAGATAACCCACATGAATATAATTACCAACAATATTTAGAAGAAGAAAGCGAGCTTGTCACACCTACTTCAAACTTGGACAAAAAAATACAAAGCGAAAGATTTTTTCAACCTCTCAAAAAATCTATACCTTTAAGTGAAGGTGAAATTTTAATGATGGTGATAAAGTATAGCTTGCGATTTAATTTAACACACACGGCTGTCACTAACTTGATTAAAATGTTGAATTGCTTTTTTCCAAGACCACTGCTACCAGATACAAGATATTTAGTAGATAAAATTTTTTTCCCAAAAGATATTGCTACATATCATTCAATTTGTCCAAATTGTGAAACATACGCAGGTAAATATTCTCATGAATGTATAGAAAAAGTATGTGAAGTTTGTAACCATAAAATTCAGTTAAGAGACAGTAATTATGTGAGTTTTTATGTAACATTTTCTTTATCAAAGGAAATAAAAAGCGTACTAGAATGTAACGATGGCTATTACGATTTTGTTATTAACGAGAGACAACACGATAATGGTGTTTATGAAGACATTTACGATGGCCAAGCATACAGAAAATTTGTAAAAAATTTAAGCCCTCAAGATAAAAATAATTTTTGTACATTAATTTTTAACTCTGATGGAGCACCCGTATTCAATAGTTCTTCATATTCGATTTGGCCATTACAAGTTATTGTAAATGAAACACCAATTCAAGTTAGAACATCAAAGAGTATAGTCTATGGTTTATGGTTTGGAAAAGGTAAACCGGACATGGAAGTTTTTCTACAATCATTTGTAGATGATGTAAATCATCTATCAAACAATGGAATTCCGTGTACTATTCGTGGTGAAGAACGAATTATTAAACCATTTGCTGTGTGTTGCTGCGTTGATACCATAGCACGTGCTCCCATGCAAGGAATGCATCAATTCAATAAATATGGAGCGTGCAATTGGTGTAAGCACCCTGGTAAATGGATTCCAAATAAGCAAAATACTGGTGGTAGTGTTAAATATCCATTATTAAAATCATTACCTGAAGATAAAACTGAAGAAGAAATGATTCTTTCCATGTCACAACTAGTAAATGATGACAAACCATTATATGCTATTAATGGTGTATCGCCTTTAATAAATTTACAGCACTTCAACATAATTGATGGATTCACGCCTGACGATATGCATTTTGCTAGACTTGGTGTGGCTAAGCAGTTTACAGATTATTGGTGTTCTTTTAAAAACTCATCATTATCTAAAACTTTAAACTCTACCAAAATGTATGAGATTGATAACATTTGAAAATGATTCAAGTTCCAAATCAAATTATGCGTCCCTCCCGTCCCTTGCAAGATCGACGTTATTGGAAAGCAAAGGAGTGGGAAAACTGGATTTTATATTTTAGTATACCGATCTTAACACATTATTTAGAATCAAAATATGTTAAACATTGGGCACTATTTGTTCAAGTGTTCCATGTATCCCTGCAATCAAAAATATCAAGATTAGACATGGAAAATATTGAGAGTTTACTAAAAAAATTTCTAGTTGAAGCTGAACAACTATATACTAAACGAGTTGCAACATATAATCTGCACCAAACCATTCATTGGCTAAAAGGATTGATAAATTGGGGACCAGGATGGACACATTCAGGTTTCGTCTTCGAATCTGGAAATGGACGACTGATAAAGAATATAAATAGCTCGAAAGGTGTCACGAACCAAATTGCACGAAACATCGCAATGCAGAGCAGTGATCATATTTTGTCAAAAAGCGTTTTACCAACATGTTCCAAAAATGTTGAAAATTTTTGTAAAAAATTGCAAACCAGAAATACACTCAAGTCATTTGCATTCAGATCAAAAAGGTATTTTGGACGTGCTACTCATGTAGAAAGTAAATGGAGAGAACAATTGGAATTATCACCAAATGCACTCTATTACAAAAGGATGGTCAAGGATAGATGTTTATATTCATCATCAAAAATTAAATGCAATCGTTCAAACAATACCATTGCTGTATGCAATGATGGTCAATTTGTACAAATTGTATATTTTATAGTTGACGAATTTACAGCCAAAGAATTTTGCGTCTGTGAATTAATAAACACTGAAACATTGTATCCAAGTCAGTTAACGGTAATAAAAAGAATAACTTCATCATCGAATGAATTAGTAGCTATAGACACAAATGAAATCAACAGGATTTGCGTTTCTGTCAAAGTGAAAAATATATCATACATTTCCCCTGTGCCTAATTTGCATTATATGTAAAAATCATCCACAGGAAACGTATTTTATAATAGAATACTTTAATAATTAATTTTATAAAATCATAATTTATAATTCTTACGTTAATTATTTAAACAAAGTTTAAGCAAGATTAAAAACGTCAACTAATATGAACAATGTGTCAACATTTTCATTGAATAAAAAACTAAAAATAACTTTCCAATTATTAGTAAAAACATAAAACTTTCCAAATTAACCACAATTATTAATATACTTTAGAAGATCAGATAAACAAATTATAATTATTACGAATTTTAATTAAAAAGAAAAATATCTGCAAAAAAGCAATTTGTCCAAATTATAATTGTGAAATACATTCGGGAAAGTATTAAATAACTTTTTGAAAAAAAATTTCAGCAAAAATTACGTACAAATTTCCAATCAATAGTTTATAGGAATTTCAACGAAATTTACTTTAAAAATTTGTTAGTATTTCGTATGAATAGCGCGAACTAATCGGTCGGAAAAGTGGGCGAATATTTAAAAATAAATTTTTTCAGCCAGAATTCCTTGCGGATTTCTTATCAATTTCTTATAAGAATCTACACGAAGTTTATTTAAAGAATTCCATAGTAATTCGTACGAATACCGCGCACTATTCGGTCGGAAAAGGGGGCAAATATTTTTTAAGAAAAATTTTTCAGCCAAAATTCCTTATGGATTTCCTATAAATTTGTTATAGGAATCCACACGAAGATTATTTAAAGAATTTGTTAGTAATTCGTACGAATACCGCGCACTATTCGGTCGGAAAAGTGGGCGAATATTATTTTTAAAAAAATTTTCACCCAAATTCCGTTCCGAATTCCTATCATTTTCTTATAGGAATCCACACGAAGTTTATTTAAAGAATTTCTTAGTAATTCGTACGAATACCGCGCACTATTCGGTCCTAAAAGGGGGCGAATATTTTTTTAAAAAAAATTTTTAGCCAAAATTCCTTGCGGATTTCCTATCAATTTCTTATAGGAATCCACACGAAGTTTATTTAAAGAATTTGTTAGTAATTCGTACGAATACCGCGCACTATTCGGTCGGAAAAGTGGGCGAATATTTTGTTAAAAAAATTTTTCACCCAAAATTCCGTTCGGAATTCCTATCATTTTCTTATAGGAATCCACACGAAGATTATTTAAAGAATTTGTTAGTAATTCGTACGAATACCGCGCACTATTCGGTCGGAAAAGTGGGCGAATATTTTTTTAAAAAAAATTTTCACCCAAAATTCCGTTCGGAATTCCTATCATTTTCTTATAGGAATCCACACGAAGTTTATTTAAAGAATTTCTTAGTAATTCGTACGAATACCGCGCACTATTCGGTCCGAAAAGGGGGCGAATATTTTTTTAAAAAAAATTTTTAGCCAAAATTCCTTACGGATTTCCTATCAATTTCTTATAGGAATCCACACGAAGTTTATTTAAAGAATTTGATAGTAATTCGTACGAATACCGCGCAATATTCGGTCGGAAAAGTGGGCGAATATTTTTTTAAAAAAATTTTTCACTCAAAATTCCGTTCGGAATTCCTATCATTTTCTTATAGGAATCCACACGAAGTTTATTAAAAGAATTCCTTAGTAATTCTTACGAATACCGCGCACTATTCGGTCCGAAAAGGGGGCGAATATTTTTTTAAAAAAATTTTTCAGCCAAAATTCCTTGCGGATTTCCTATTAATTTCTTATAGGAATCCACACGAAGATTATTTAAAGAATTTGTTAGTAATTCGTACGAATACCGCGCACTATTCGGTCGGAAAAGTGGGCGAATATTTTTTTAAAAAAAATTTTCACCCAAAATTCCGTTCGGAATTCCTATCATTTTCTTATAGGAATCCACACGAAATTATTTAAAGAATTTCTTAGTAATTCGTACGAATACCGCGCACTATTCGGTCCGAAAAGGGGGCGAATATTTTTTTAAAAAAATTTTTCAGCCAAAATTCCTTGCGGATTTCCTATTAATTTCTTATAGGAATCCACACGAAGATTATTTAAAGAATTTGTTAGTAATTCGTACGAATACCGCGCACTATTCGGTCGGAAAAGTGGGCGAATATTTTTTTAAAAAAAATTTTCACCCAAAATTCCGTTCGGAATTCCTATCATTTTCTTATAGGAATCCACACGAAGTTTATTTAAAGAATTTCTTAGTAATTCGTACGAATACCGCGCACTATTCGGTCCGAAAAGGGGGCGAATATTTTTTTAAAAAAATTTTTCAGCCAAAATTCCTTGCGGATTTCCTATTAATTTCTTATAGGAATCCACACGAAGATTATTTAAAGAATTTGTTAGTAATTCGTACGAATACCGCGCACTATTCGGTCGGAAAAGTGGGCGAATATTTTTTTAAAAAAAATTTTCACCCAAAATTCCGTTCGGAATTCCTATCATTTTCTTATAGGAATCCACACGAAGTTTATTTAAAGAATTTCTTAGTAATTCGTACGAATACCGCGCACTATTCGGTCCGAAAAGGGGGCGAATATTTTTTTAAAAAAATTTTTCAGCCAAAATTCCTTGCGGATTTCCTATTAATTTCTTATAGGAATCCACACGAAGATTATTTAAAGAATTTGTTAGTAATTCGTACGAATACCGCGCACTATTCGGTCGGAAAAGTGGGCGAATATTTTTTTAAAAAATTTTTTCATTCAAATTTCCGTTCGGAATTTCTATCAATTTCTTATAGGAATCCGCACGAACTGTTCTTAAAATATTCGTTAGCAATTCGCACGAATACCGTACGAAATTCGGTCGGAAATTTAAGAGAAATTTTTTTTTGTATCCGTTTTTCTTATCAAAGTCGCACGAATTCCGATTAAATTATGGACGAATTCTGTTTCAAATCGCCACACGGCGTTTTCCAGAATTCGACAGGAAATCTGAACGAATTCTAAACGAATTCTTAAGGAAATTTGGACGAATTCCGGACGAATTCCACACGTTATTCGTGAGGATCATTTTCACCTGGGTTCTATGTCAAATAATATAAGTGATACAAAAAGAAACAATTTTGTTAAAAAATGTAATAAAATTGTTCCTCTTCGTATCACTTACATCATTTGACATAAGAAACATATATTTTTTAAACATTTGTTTCTATACCAAATAAGTTCGCTTCGTGTACGAAACCCTCGATTTCAGTGCGAGTGTAACTCGCACTTGTCCGATTTTTTTACATATACCTAATAATGTTTAAAAGAAAATTGCAAAAAACTGCAAACCACCAAAAAGACAAATATTCTACCAAATTTGAATATTCAAATTTTTTGTCTCACTCAAACCCTTGCGTTGTCATGGTAACCTGCAAGCAGGCAGACAGCCAAAAAGGTGTGAGTGCGCCATTAAAGGGCAGTATTAAGATTTGAAAATTTGGTCCGACACATTTGATCATCAATTTTGAAAAAAATATAAAAAAATTTTTTATAATAAATAATAATAATTATAATAAAATATTATTTACAGATTTGAAACGTGATGAAGAAGATGAACTTTGTTAATAAAATTTATTAAAATAAATATTATTTAAACGTATTAAACAATTTTTCTTATACTTAAAATGTGTTTTATTTAAATGTCTAATTGTGTGTGTATCTCTCTTTCCTGTGAATATCAGAATTTAAAAAACTTTAAATTAATTTGCGTAAGGTATGCTTAAGGGAAATTCTCAACTCTTGGCTGCCTGCGTGCCTGCAGGAGTTGTCATGGCAACGTGTAGGAGCAATAGAGATAGTAAATTCAAATTTAAAGTTTCTCTCTCTCTTACTCCTGTACGTTGCCATGACAACTCCTACAGGCAGGCAGCCAAAAAGGTGTGAGTGCGCCCTTACTTATCATTAATATCTCAAAATGCTTGCAAAGATTTTAGAAAATACAAAATAAAAGTAATTTTATTTTCTTCTTCTAACTATTCATTTTTATTAAAATTTATTTAGTTTATAAATATTAATGCTCTCACAGCATCGAATATTTAAGAATATATCTGGGACATCCTATTGATATGAATTTGCTTCCGGCGGTGAGGATATCACACTAGAATATCCTGAAGATGTCCTAGGATATCTTAATTATACCCTAAGGATATCCAAACTGCCGCAAGCAAATGGATATACTGAGGATGTCCCAGGGATATCCTTAAATATATGGTGCTATGAGGTTGTGTAATATAATTATACACTACCGTCCGAAATTGTGCGAACTCTGCTTTTTCAACAACTATAAAACTGTTCAAATCTTCAAAAATATTAAAACTAAACTTTTTTCCTCTTTATTTTATTAAAGCTAATAAAATTCTGAAAGAAATGACACCTTGACAAAGAGAATATGTTAATTTTTCAATTTGATATCTAAGAAAAACCCAATTTTCAATGTTTTTACTATTTTTTTTATTTCTCTGGCAAAAATTAATATTTTTAAACGTTCTTAGGCTCATTGAAATCGTATTTTGTTATGCAATTCAAATTATATAAAACAATTCATGTACACATTCTTCCCTAGCGTATGCAAACCGTGAAAGTTGGCTCATAAAATGTCAAAAAATTTAAATTTAATTCTACAATAAAATATAATGTTTAAAAATCAAGTAAATATATCATTCTTAACTTCTCTGATTTATGTAAGTAAATTTAAGATTTATACATTTTACTGATCATTTTTTGTCATATAAATATTAATCACAATTTTTTGACATTTTATGAGCCAACTTTCACGGTGTGCCTACGCTAGGGAAGAATGTGTACATGAATTGTTTTATATAATTTGAATTGCATAACAAAATACGATTTCAATGAGCCTAAGAACGTTTGAAAATATTAATTTTTGCCAGAGAAATTAAAAAAATAGTAAAAACGTTGAAAATTGGGTTTTTCTTAGATATCTAATTGAAAAATTAACATATTCTCTTTGTCAAGGTGTCATTTCTTTCAGACTTTTATTAGCTTTAATAAAATAAAGAGGAAAAAATTTTAGTTTTAATATTTTTGAAGATTTGAACAGTTTTATAGTTGTTGAAAAAGCAGAGTTCGCACAATTTCGGACGGTAGTGTACATATATCTACCTGTTCTATTA